GTCATGGGATCTGTCAGCAATGCCAACTATCATTGAAAGAAAATTGAAATCTAAGGTTCTGCCAAACAGGAAAAGCCAGGCAGGATATTGATGAGCATGAAAGGCTATCAGGAAATTGGAATCTATGAAGTAAGTCTTCAGTTGTCTATAGAAAATACCATGGAAGAAATTCTTTCTATAATGGACAAATTGGGACAGTTCCCATTGATTTTATATACTGTAAGTTTAAATAGATCTTGTTAGGCTGGCCAGTTGGTCAGCGGATTAAAGCACCTGCTTAGGCAGATGCAGGGACCAGGGTTTGTTCTGAGCATGCCATGTTGGCCACACCCCTGGGGCACTCTGAGGCGGTGACTGAGACTGGGCATGGTGGCACCTCCCTGTAATCCCAGTGGTTGGGAGGCTGAAAACAAGAGGATCACTGTGAGTCTGATCTATAGACCCTGAATTAAATACATTAAAAAAACTTTTTAAAAAAACCTAAAAAACAGATCTTGTTAATGATTGGGGGACATGGAGAGTAAAAAGTAATGCAGATCATGACCCTTTCACAGCTAATAGAGCTGCATATGAAAACAAATGGCTGCAGTAGTCATTATATTTGGGCTAAAGTGTCTTAATATTTCTAAATATCCTAATACATGGCAGATATTGGTAGAAACAGCTATCCAGGACACTTAAGGGTCAGAATTTGCAAAGGAAAAGATATCTGAATAGGCAAAGGAAGTAACCAAGACTTCTGGGAAGGTGACAGAGTAGTGAGAAGAGAAAGAGCTTCCCTGAGATTTGGTGTCCAGACATTGGAATAAGAGAATAAGGAGGCATCTCAGTTACTTCTTACTCGCTGGTACAAAATACCTAAAGGAATTCACCAGGCAAAGCAAACGATTAAACTTAGGAGAAAAAGCAAGCCAACAATAGGAAGCTAATATGATAGAGGGCTAGGGAGACAGCTCACTGGAATAAGTGCTCACCTGGCAAGCACAAGGTCTTGAGTTAGATCCCTCGTACCACCAAAAAAAAAAAGACACAGCTAAGTCAGTATACATCAATTATAATCATCAATGTTAATTGTCTTAATTCACCAATGAAAAGAAACATAGTGACAAAATGGATCAAGAAGCAAGATCGAACAACATGCTGCATAGAAAAAACACATTTATTAAAAAAATTCAGATATCACTCAATGAAATTGAATGTGTAATTAAAAACCTACCAAGAAAGAAAAACTTGGGCCAGCCAAATAGCTCAGCAGATTAAAGCACCTGCAAGCAAGTTAGATCCCCGGGCCTGCAGTGCTGGCCCAGACCCTGGGGCACACTGAGATGGCAGTTGAAACTGGGCATGGTGGCACACGTCTGTAATCCCAGCATTTGGGAGGTTGTAAACAGGCAGATCACTATGAGTCCAATCTAGTAGTGAGACCCTGAACACCCTGTAGACCGTTCCCTAAAATACAAAGAAAGAAAGAAAGAAAGAAAGAAAGAAAGAAAGGAAGGAAGGAAGGAAGGAAGGAAGGAAGGAAGGAAGGAAGGAAGGAAGGAAGGAAGGAAGGAAGGAAGACTCAGAATCTAATAGTTTCATTGCTGAATTCTACAAGAAATTTAGAGAAGATCTAACACCACTACTTCTCAAACTCTCTAAAGAAATTGAAAGGGAAGCAATGCTCCCGAAATCATTCCTGAAGGCAAGAATTATCCTGATTGCAAAACCAAAAACGGACCAATCAAGTAAAGGAATTATAGGTCAATCTCCCTAATGAACATAGATGAGAAAATCCTCAAGAAGATACTGGCAAATGGAATACAACAGATCATCAAGAAGATTATATATTATGACCAAATAGGATTCATCCCAGGAATACAGTCATGGTTAAACATAAGCAAATCAATAAATATAAAAAAGTACCCTAAAGAAAATTCAAATAGATCATCTTTATCTCAATCTGATAAGCACTATCTATAATAAAACAGTAGACAAGACTATGCAAAATGGTCAAAAAGAATGAAAGCTTTCACTCTAATATGAGGACCAAGACAAGGGTATCCATTGTCACCACTCTTATTCACTACAGTTCTGGAAACATTAACAAAAGTAATTAGAGAAGCAGAAGCAGAAGAAGAGGAAGGGGAAGAGGAAGAGGAAAAGGAAGAGAAAGAGGAGGAAGAAGGGGAGGGGGAGGGAAAGAGGGAGGGGGAGGGGAAGAAGAAGGAGAAGGAGAAGGAGGAGAAGGAGAAGGAGAAGGAGAAGGAGAAGGAGAAAGAGAAGTAGTTAGGAAAGCAAAATAAGAAATTATCATCATTTGTAGATGACATTATAATCTACATAGAAGACCACAAAAACTTTACCAAAAGACTTCTAGATTTAATAACCACATTCAGTAGTGTATCTGGATATATTAAAAAATCAATAGCCTTCCTGTAGAGGAATAACAAACTCACTAAGAGAGAAATTAGGGAAATAACACCTTTTACTATAGCATCCAAAAAGTGAAATACCTCATTATCAATCAAATGAAGGAAGTAAGAGGCATCTACATTGAAAACTACAGTATTCTTAAAAAGGAGGTTGAAGAGATTGGAAAATAAAAAATATCTCTTGTTCTTGGGTAGGAAGAACCAACATAATGAAAATGGCTCTTTCTAAAATTTTACACAGATTTAATGCAATTCTGCTGAAAATTCCAAAGGCATATCTCACTGTATTAAAGAAAACTGTCCTAAAATTCATTTGGAACCAGAAAAGACTAAGAATAGCAAAGGCAATCCTGGGCATCAAAGGGAGGGCTGAAGACAACACAATCCCTGTCTTGAAACTATACTACAAAGCTACTGTGATAAAAACAGCATGATATAGGCAAAAGAAGACCTGAGGGTAAGTGGAATAGATCAGAAGATGCAGAAACAACTCCAGGCACACTTTGCTGCTTTTCTTTGACAAAGGTGGCAAACACCTTCACTAAGAGTAAAACAGCCTTTTTAACAAATGGTGCTGGAAAAACTAGCAGATTAAAATCAGACCCATATCCTTCATCGTGCATGAAAAAACTAAAATCAAAATGGATCAAAGATCTAAATATTAACACATAAACACTGAATTTTCTGGAGTGTAGAATAGGTAGGATTCTTGAAGATTCGGCATAGGCAAGCAGTTTTTGAACAAAACCCCAATTGCACAGGAACTAACACAAATAACAATTGTGAATTTATATTATAAAGTTTTTGCACAGCAAAAGAAACACCTACAGAGTGAAGAGACAACCCACAGTGTTGGAAAAATTTTTGTCATCTGTTCCTCAGACAAAGGACTATCATCTAGACCTTATGAAGAACTCAGAAATATTAGACCCCCCAAATCTAATGAACCAATCCAAAAATGGCATGTGAAATAGACAGACATTTCTCAAATGAAAAAGTAGAAATGACAAATAAATATATGATAAAATACTCAATATCATTGGTCCTTCATGATATGCAAATTAAAGCAACACTGAGATTCCATCTCACTCCAAAATGAATGGCTATCATCAAGAAATCATCGTATAACAAATGCTTGTGGGGCTGTGAGGAAAAAGGAATCCTTCTCTACTGTTGGTGGTAGTGTAGGGTAGTGCCACCCTTAAGGGTATCAGTGTGGAGATTCCTTAAAAAACTAGAGAAACTACAGGATGCTTCAATACTTGTACTGCTGATTTTTGCTGATCTACAGAGGGGAGTGGTCAATGCTTAAAATTTTTGGCCTTTCTCTTTTCTTTTTCTTGTTCTTTTAGATTTCTTGTAATATTTTTTTTCAAATTTTTCATGTTTATGTCTGGTAATCTGAACAACTAATTTGAAGATAACACTACGTAATGCAGCAACCACTGTTGAATTCCCATTGATTTGTTTGGTGAAGTTCTGTATCATTTTTCATGTCTTTGTTTTTGTCACTATTTTGTATTATCTTTAATAATAACAAACTGGAGGTTCTGTTTGACCCAACTATTCCTCTTCTTGGTATCTTCCCAAAAGAAAAAACGCATAATAGCTCATGAGTGTATACACAATCTTATTTATAGCAGCACAGTTTGTAATAGCTAAATCTTGGGAAACAGTCCAACTACCATAAACTGATGAATGGATAAAGAAGTGGTATTTTTTTATACAACAGAGTACTACTCTGCTATAGAGGATAAGCTTGAGATATTTCTAGCTAAATCACCTTAAGTGGGTCCCGCCCATTAGCTCAGTTGTTTAAGTGCCTGCTTAAAGGAGGCAGTCAGTCTCTGGGAGCGGTGGTTCCATTCCCAGATACTCAAGGCAACCCAGGCCAGCGCTGCTGGAGGTCAATGTGGAGCCGCCAAAAAATATAAATAAATAAATAAATAAATAAATAAATAAATAAATAAATAAATCACCTTAAGTGATTAAGACCATTCTTAAGTCCACCTTAAGACCATTCTCTTAAGTGAAATTATTCAGACACATATGTGTACATACCCCCATTGTTTCTCTGGTGTGAGAAACTGAAAGTATAGATAAGGAGCAAAATGTATAATAGATATTATGACATAGGAAGAAAATGTTCAAATGGGAAGGGGAAATGGGGAGAAGGGATGGGGAAAAGAAGGAAGGAAGGGAGGGAGGAAGGACAGGAGGATGGGAGGATGGGAGGAAGGAAGGATGGAAGAACGGGAGAGAGGGAAGGAGCGAGGGAGGGAGGAAGCAAGAGGAAAAAGAAAAAATGATTAGAAAAGAAGGAAATAATGGAAACAAGGCTTTTGTAAATAAGGAAGGGAAGGGAGGTTGAAAGGAAAGAAGGGGAATAGGAAAAAAACAATCAAGTTATATCACATAAGGTACAAATTCCCCATAATGAATGTAATCATTATGTATACCTAAAATGTCCCCAAAAGTATAATAAAAAAGAAACAAAATTACACACACATACACACACACACATTTTCACAAGACAAGAGAAGCCAGACCATCTTTACAAATCAAGAAGAAAATCCTACCTACCTGGTGACAGCCCGGGTGCATATGGTGACAAGAAAACAGCCAGCCACGATCATCCAGCCCCAGCCTCCATCTGGGGGGGAGGTGGACCCAGATCTATTTACTTTTGCCATGGTTGCAAATGTTTTTCTCCTTTGCCGGGTTATTCCACCAGCAAGCTATGATCTTGGAAAAGTCTGCTTCCCAGTGTCTTCCCGTCAGGCATTCAAGGTTGGCATGGAATGCTACCTGGCACATGGGTTTCTGGCCATCTAAAACAAAAAGTGTAGATATATTTCTATTTTACTGTCATTTCCAGAAATGGGTTTTTCACTTAGTAAGAATTACTAGTTTTCTATTAATATGATTATCTGTAACCAAACATGGGTGTGACCTGTGACTTGATTCTAACCAACAGAACAGCACAGGTGATGGGACACAACTTTCACAACCACACACCGAGCTACACAGGACTCGGTCTTGCTACTCCCACTTCCCACAGGGCTTGCAGAAACAAATGGTCTCATTGCACGCTGCTGCCTGCATAGAGGCCATGCAGCAGGAGACCTTGGGTGGTCTGTGGGGACTGGGTGCAGCCGCTCACTGAACAGGAAAAAGAAAAAGGAAAGAAAAGTATCATTACTGTGTTTTGCAAACACAGATTCTCTTAAAAGTGGGAGAAAAGAATATCCTATGTATAACAAGAAAATAAAAGAGTAAGCTCTCAGGACTTTTTCTCCCAGTCTCCCAGGTGAACGCAAAGCAACTTCTTTCCTAGCTGCTTCTCCACTTGATAGGGCCCGGCAAATACCCACGCAGGCTTCTGAGGCTGTCAGCCCACCACCACGCTGCACACTGTGACTTGATTCTGGTGCCCTAGAAATTGCCACGTAAATTGTTCCTTAAGGTATTCCTTTGCACGTTAAATAACCTTCTTAATTATAGTTAAGGAGATATCTTTAAGATGCAGAGTAAGAGTTTTGATGAATATTTTTTCTTCTAGATTGAGCAAATAATCCAGTTGTTAATACAATTTTATTAACTATTTTATTATAAGATTGCCACAAGAGGGCTGGGAAGATAGCTCAGCAGTCTAAGTGCCTGCTTGGCAAGCACAAGAACCCGAATTCGATCCCTGGTACCTCATGCCGTGCCAACCCTGAAACCTTGTGTGCATGATGCCAGCCACTGATGAAATCAGGTGTGGTGGCACATGTCTGCAATCCCAGCACTGGGGAGGCTGAGATAGGAGGAGCGCTATGAGTATGAGCTGTGTAGAGAGACCCTGTTCTATGGGTAGATAGATAGATAGATAGATAGACAGACAGATATTGCAGAAGAAATCTGAATGCTACTTAAATGAAATCTCATTTCAAATGTGACACAGTGTGCATTATTTGGTGAGCATATGCTGTATACTACCATACACTATATAAGTCACAGGCAAACCATACTACCTAAGAAGCTATGTGTTAAAGATTGCAGCTTCTTAAGAAGACGGCCAATGATAGATTTTGCAAGTTTGCAGCTCTGGACCTGGTGCCCTCTGAGTTCAGAGAGCAAATGACAGTGAGGCTGGGCAGTGGCCATGACGCCCCATGCACTGTCAGGCTGTCACTGCCCTCTTCTCCTTGCTAGCCATCCTAAGAATTGGGGACAAAAGGAGCAAGTGGACAGCTGAAGATGATATAAATGCATCCAAAATTCTGGAAGATCAGTGTTGATATAGACACTAACCCTGTTTTGATAAGAATGAAATTATTACTGTAGGAAAATGAGAACACCGTAAGACCACAATGTTAAGTGAAGCACAAGCTTAAACACCTCAGGGTTTCTCTCATATGAGAAACCTAATATGTAAATAAAATACAAACAAAAGGTAAACAATAGGGGAAAAAAGGAAAAAACACTTTTGCCATCCAGCAGAGCCAATGTATCCAAAAGTGTACCTTGCTTTCGTATAATTATTTTATATATTTTATATGTGTTTTGTTTTATTAGTCTGCTTTTTAATCTGCTGTGCTTATGAGAATCATCTTGATGAAAACTTATAAAATAAATGAATAAATCTGATGACAAGTAATTTTCAAAAGAATTGAGGCATGTTATGTACACATACCCAGTCCCCACAGTGGATGTAATTATTATGTAATGTAAACATATACTGATATTTTTTAAAAATTTATTATTGAAAATGATAACATTATTTATCACTGGTCTAAGGACTGAGTCACAGTCAAAATATTGATTTGGGAACACAGTGTAAACAATACCCAGCTAGCATTTTTTTTTCATTTTTTGAGGTACTGGGGATTGAACTGGGACCTTGCATATGCCAGTCAAGCCTTTAATACACTGAGCCATTTCCTCAGCTGTACAGCTAGCATTTATAGAGAATTTCCACAGGCCAAGATGCTACTAAGTGGCATTTTAAAAGTATCTCATTTAACGTTTACATCAACCATAGAAGGTAGGTACTATTATCCCTGTTTTAGGTACAGGGACTTAGGCTAGAAAGCTTATGTGATGTGCCCAGTTATTAATACCATTAAGCACCTGAAATGTTTTTGCGAACCCCAGTGTGGTGCCAAGGCCACTCTCCCTAGCCAATGCCAGGCACTGCTCCATCACACTTCCTCATTGCTTGGCATAAATTCATAAACATTTTTGACTAATCTTGTACTTACCTCTCTTGCTGGTGGCATACTCAACAGATGACATGAATTGCTGCCTGATATAGCAAGCATGCAATTTTTTAAGTGGCATTGTTCCTATTTTCTAAAAAAAAAAGTCCATAGATTAATGACTCTTTTGTTGTAGAATCATCTCTAATGTCAGAGTAAATGTAGTCTCCGAAAGGAGTAGCCAACACTTCGGCACTTCAGGATCGGTTCCTCTAAAGTGTAACTTCATGCTCTGGATAAGTGGTTTTAGCGGTCTACTCCTTCTTCCCCCAAATTTAAATACTCTAAGATTGATCCTTATTTAATAAATCTGCCCTACTTGTAGTTTTGCTCTCATATGACCTGCTTCTTGCAGCAGAGTTCACATGTCCTCCATTGGTTGGGACTATGCGTCTATCAGCTCTTTCTAGTGGACACTGATTCCAGGAGTGGGCTGTGATTGGCTTCTCTTATCCTCTGTCAGTGAGTGATGAGGGAAGGGAAGTGACGTCACTCTACTCAGTGAGCTATGGGAAGATGTCTTCTAAGAAAGGACACTGGAAAGAAAGGAGCCCCTCCTCTTCCTGTGGACATTTTGAATCTGGACATCATACCTAGAACCACAGTAGGTAGCTGGTTGCAGGACGCTGGCCTGAGAACAAAGTCAGAGAGCCACAGACCGCACAGGAACCTAGGAGCTTGGTGACCTCCCTGACCCAGTCCACCTGGGGCCACGCTCGCTGACCTGTCAGGTAAAGTGACATTTGTTTGTTCATCTATTTTGAATAATACTACTTCATGGCTTCTTATTCTACTTTATTTTTGAAATATATTTTACTTAGCAGTGCATATTTGTAGCACAAAATGTTTGCACTCCTTATGGGGAGTTGGTACTTGAACACAGTACATCTTGTGTCTTTTCCTTATTCCCTTTCCCTTCCTCTCTCACCTTTCTGTTGATCACCTTCCTTTTTTCTGTACTTGTTTGCAGTACATTTTATATACTGTTTAAACCAGTTGAGGTTTTCATTACTTCTCCCAAAAGAATCCAAGCTGACCTATTCCTGATAATGGTGTGCTGGGGCCAGCTCCAAACACCTGCCATTGCCACCCTTTGTTCAGCCCTATTGTTGGCTGTGATAGATGCCCTTAGGCCAGAGTAACTACAAATTGGCAAACTACATGGTAAAGCTTTTATATTTCTCAAGAGAATCAGTTGCTGAACCCTTACTAGCACCCTGTGGAGTAACTTAAGGTGTGCAAAATAAAGATTTATATGAAATCTTAATTAAAGCCAAAAACTAAGAAAGAACTTAAATGACTATTGTGAGCTCTCAATTTAATTAGCTTATTACCTTTTCAAAAATATAATTTGCTTATCTTTTAGGGTTGCATTTGGCAAGGTACAACCCTCAAATAACATGTGAACACTCCCTCTTTTGGTAAATCACAATTTGTTGGAAAACAGCTACATTCTTTCCATTTTTTTCAGGTATCTTGAATACTCAAAACAAAGACCATGTGGCCCCAAAAGCCTGAACTATTTATTACCTGGATGTTTACAGAGAAAGTTTGTAGGCTCCCATTCTAAGAGTGTTTAGAAATGATTCCAAATACTTAGTTTTTTATGTGATGTCTTGGTTTTGAAATTGGTTTTTTTTGCTCTTACTTGAACCCCTGCACGGACTCTGAACTCTGAATTCTCCATCTCTTCAGGAACAATTTACATCAAACCTTAGGAGGTCTCCCACACTCATGCGAATCACTGACCCAGCTACTGTGTCAGTCAGTTTTCTGTCCCTGTAACAAATGCCAGAGATATTCAACTTATGAAAATTAAAAAAAAACCTTACTTTGGCTCATAACTGTGAATATTCCAGGCCATTTTGGGGTGAATATATTGTTCTAGGTTGAGTAGAGGAAACTCATCATGACATAACAATACAGATTGAGGGGTCAAGTATTAGAAAGCCACTTAGAGTCACTGAACAGGATTCCATTTCTACAGAACTATCCTTTAAAAATAATTTAACAGAAAGTAAGCATTATTGGAAATAATAGCTATATCATGGATAATTATTACAGTAGAGAAACAACCTAAATGCTCAACAAGTGGGTAGCGTTTAGACAATTGTGATATATTAAATAAATGGAACATAAAATATACATTTAAAATTCTGACGCATTAAATGAAAGAAACAGTATTTATCCTTTTTTCACAGGAAGATAACAGTGTAACATGTAAAACACTCTGGAAGCAATATTAAAGCAAAAAGAAGCTGCATGTACCTTGTGAGGGAAACTATTGCATGGTTCAATGTAACTGTCACAAAGACTATAAAGACTGAAATAGTCTGGTATTATTAAGCTATTATTCATCTCCAAGTTATATTATATATCATTATATAGGGTTTATTTTTCTGAGAAAGAAATTCCAGGTCTAATCCTGAAATATGAACATAGAAATCTCTTTTGTACCATTTCTCCAGGACTAATAATAACCATATCATTTATTAATATTGCAAATTGAAAAGCAGACGATTTTTCAGGAAGAACATGCTATAAGCAAGAAGCCCTGGACAAAAAAAAGATGTTGAACACTTTATGAA